AGTCCTGACTTTGAGGAGTCCTCAGCCTTGCAGAGATTCAGACACACATGGGGTGGACACCTTGGGTGGGCAAGGAGATGGGGGTGACACTGTGGGCAAAGGGAGGCTGAGAAAAGGCCAGGAGGCCTGAGGAATCCTGGCATGTTCCCCAACAGCGAGGAGGAACCTGGTAGTTGGGGAAGGGTGAGGAGAGGCCAAGTCACGCAGCCAGCCTGGCGGAGCCAGGGTTACCTGACTCAAAGCCCAACCCTTTCACTCTATCCCACAACCTTCTATGTGAGGCTGGGGAGATTAGACTCAGAGGAACAGGCAAGAAATATGCCAGGTTGGTATTTTTGAATCTGGGGTTGCAGCGTGGACAGTGTGGGGCTGTCAGTGACCAAGAAGAAAGTCGATGCAGGGCCGGTGATGGGAGGAGGAAGATGGGTACAATTTCAGAATGCATTTGGAGATCAAGGTGGCAGGACGTGATCACTGAATGACTGTGGGGAAAGCCGATGAAAGAGATGAGCCTAACTCCAGCTTGAGCACCTGGGTGACAACCTGGAGGCTCCTAGATGTCCCAGGGGACAATATTTTCTGCCCATTTCCACATCCTTGGCTAGTTCCACATCTTCCCTGCCTGACTCAGCCTCTTCTATTCCTGTGTTATGCTTGGAGACCCAGTTCCAACCCACTTTCACAGACCAGATAAGGGAATCCCTTCTCAGAAACCACTTTCTGACCCTGTCTCTGCAGCCTCCTTTTCTTGTGTGACCTGCTTGTGTGGTGTCATGACCCCAGGAGCTCGTGCATGCATGTGAATGTTCAGCAGTTCTTTCCTTGAGGATGAGACCTGGGTCTTACAATTCTGTTGACCTGCACGAGACTCTGAGAATGGATAGATGAAACATGGTCTTGATCAAGGGTAGCAGACGGATGTGTCTCATCCCGACTGATTACAGGGGCTGCCTGGAGTACCGTGTGGAGGATTCTGAGGTTTCGTCCAGGTTCAGCTGCAAAGAGTGCTGTGATCAATTAGTGATGTCTGCCAGGAGCACAGGAGGGATGAGTGGCATCTTGCATGTCATTTATGGGCAATCTCTTGATCACAAGATATGTAGGATTTTGACAGGCTACAGCTGTTCTCAGGAAAGATCAAAGATGATATCCAAGTGTCTGGTGTGGCAACGGTAGAAACAGGCTAGGAAGGGCTTTTAGGGGGCTCAGACCAGTGACAGATTCAGGCTTTCCTCAGTGTTGCATTTTCAACTTTCATACCACTTTCCACTTGGTGCGTGTTACGTAATGATGCCCCTAAGCCACCTTTTGTACCCTGACTCGAGGCTCTCAAACTGCAACTTACAAATGAATTTTTCTAGGCTAATGCCTGCCAGTCAGTGGTTTCATTTTGGCAGCCTGATGTCCTGTCTGTGCTGTGGTCTTTGGGCAATTCATTTGAATATTTTATTTCCCTCGTAGTTTTCTAAAACGAATGTAAAAATGAAGGTGTGGATACCAGTGGTGGTAGTGTAGTTCTCCTAAATGCAATGTAGAAGCAGAGCATCGATTTAGGATTCTAAATAACAGAATTGCTTCAAAATAATCCTCAGCCACCTAGTAAATCATGCCATTGGAGTAACTGAGGAGAGTCTGCTATGTGTGTACCTGGGCACAGCGAGGGAACATTTAGCCAGGTTGTAAGTGACCCCATTAATGGTACCCCAGTGGCCCAGTCCACTCAATAGAGACCAGGCAGGACACAGGCAGCAAGTTTAATCACATCAAAGTGGTCTCACGGGTGAAGGACAAACTTCTGTGATTTCAGTTGTTCTTGTATTTTACGTGGTGATACTCTTTTCCTTAAATTTTGTGAGCATTGGGGGTTAAGATAGCTAAGTTCAAGAAATATCATAAGTCTGGGCCGGCCCGGTGGCGCACTGCTATAGTGCGCCGCTTGGGAAGTGCGGCGGCGCTCCCGCCGAGGGTTCGGATCCCACATACAGACCGGCCGCTCACTGGCTGAGCGAGGTGCGGGAGCAACACTGAGGGTTGCAATCCCGTTGCTGGTCCCAGTCCGGTACGGGCGCGACACTGAGGGTTGCGATCCGTTGCCGGCCACGAAAAAAGACAAAAAAAGGAAAAAAAAAAAAAAAAAAGAAATATCATAAGTCTGGAACAGATAGACTCTTGGACATTCTGGATAATTAATCTTCTGCCATACCACAGAGACAAAAGTGGCAATTATTAAATGAAAGCAACAAATGGTTAGCCTCAACCCGACTTTTCATAGACTTAAGCTGGTGGGCTGGGGGGTTCACTTTGAAGGAAAAGAATCAAGAATTTATATGAAATCCTGAAGATCTATCATAGATGATACGTACAAAGCTAAGTGAAACTGGAGTTTTTATAACACCATTAGTTCCTGGGTGGGAACCATCAACCCTTATTGCTTACTGGCCTCATTTTTATTATTATTAACAGCTATTGCTGGTGTCTTGTTATATATTTGACTTTCGTGCATCTTTTCTGGTTTACATTGTGTATGACAGCAAGAGATCGTTTATATTGATTACGATGTGTCAATTGAATCGATGGTTGGTTTGGAAGCAGGGATGCAGAATTGGTGGGGTGGGGGCTGTGAGTGGGCTTGTGATAGTGTCATCATTGCAGATGGGAGACAGTGTCTGGGTAAAATAACCCAACCTTCCAGGTTGTGTCCATAGGACCCACTGTCACCACTCCCCTCTGGTTCTAATTTTTATTTCTGAAGACTGGATCCAAACCTCTGCTTTGTCATTTACTACCCAAATGACTTAACCTCTCTGAGAGTCTCATCTCTAAAATGGGGAAACTAACATGGGCATTTGCGTGGTTGCCATGAGGGTTAGGTATGTAGCCTGACGGTTGGACGTGTGACTTTCTAATCAAGCAGACCTCACTGTGAATCCCACATGTGGTCACCATTCATTAGCTGGGCAACCTGGGCAAGTTATGAGCGACCTCTCTAACCTTTCTCATATGTGCAAAGAGGATAAATTTGCCTACCCAAGGAAGGAATGCCTGTTGTGAGGAAGTGCTGGATAATGTAGCCACTGTTGTTATCACATAGGAATTTTGTTCATTGCCTTCTTCCTTCCATTCCCATCTTCCGTGTCCTAAACTCGTAGTCATCCTTTACAGGATACCACCTGAGCCACCTCCTTGGAGAAGCCCTCCCCAACTGCCCCTGTGGGGAGCTGTTCCATCTCTGTGCTCCACTGTCCCTTGCCCTCCTCCCGATTACCTGAAGCATCATCTACATGTCTACACGTCTGTCTTTCCTACCAGCTGGAAGCCTCTTGAAGCAGAAGTTCCCATCCCATGATTCTTTCTTTTTATTTTTGTGACCGGTAAGGGGATCGCAACCCTCGGCTTGGTGTCACCCGCACCGCGCTCAGCCAGTGAGCGCACCAGCCATCCCTATATAGGATCCGAACCCGCGGCGGGAGCGCTGCTGCGCTCCCAGCGTCGCACTCTCCTGAGTGCGCCACGGGGCCGGCCCCCATGATTCTTTCTTATTTGTACGTTTCAGAGCCTAGCCCAGTGCTTAATGCATAGGAGTTTTTTTGGTGCGTGAGTGAGTGAGTAGGTAGATAAGCAAGTAGATGAATACATGAATGAATGAATGGACTGAAGGACTTAACCACTGGTCAGAGGAACCCTGGCTCTAGCAGGGGTGAGCAGCTCAACTACAGCTAGAGGCCTGAGAGCACAGGTTCTTTATCTGGGGAATCTGGATCTCTGAACCATCAAACAAGCTTGCACATGTATCTCTTTCTATGTATATTTGGGGGGAAGGTTCATAGCTGTTGTCAGATTCTCAGAAGTGTCCCTGGTTCCCAAATGTTGACAAGTTGCTGATCTAAACAGATGGAGCAGGCAGGCCCCACGGGGAGGACAGAACCAAGTGATTGGAAGAGAGTGCGACAAAGGAGAAAAGATCAGTGCTGGCAGGACACCGAGTCCTGCAAGGACCTCAAGTAGGGGCGTGGCCAGCGCCTGCATGCAGCCCCAACACAGGAGCTCCTGTCGTCTGTGAGGGCATCACCAGTTCCTTCTAGCAGCTCTGGTGTGAGGAAGCTCAGGGATGGTTTGTGTGTCTCTCACTGTCTGGATTCTTACATGGAATCCACCAGAAAGGTCTCTCAAGTTCACTGTGTCTAATCACCTGCCTCTAAACATAGCAAGCCCAAATGCTTCCAGGAGTACAGGCAAATGCTTGGTTTTTCCTGTCTTTTTCTTTCTTCTGTCTCCTTTTTTTTTTTTTTGGTGGTTTGCCTTTATGGGTATCTGAACCCTTGACCTTGGTGTTATAACACCGTGCTCTAACCAGCTGAGCTAACCGTCCATCCCCCTTTCCTGTCTTATACAGTTTTCTTCCCTCCCCTCCTCTCTCCTGTCTTTCCTGTCACTATTTCATACTATCCTATCTTTGGCTATGAGCACTTGATTTTCATTAAGACCATGTTTTTCAAAAATATGGGTCTTTGGGGCCGGCCCGGTGGCGCACTGCTATAGTGCGCCGCTTGGGAAGCGCAGCGGCGCTCCCGCCGAGGGTTCGGATCCCACATACAGACCGGTTCCTGCTCACTGGCTGAGCGAGGCACGGGAGCGACACCAAGGGTTGCAATCCCGTTGCCGGTCCCGGTCCGGTACGGGGGCAACACTGAGGGTTGCGATCCGTTGCCGGACACGGAAAAAGACAAAAAAAAAAAAAATATGGGTCTTTGCCTAATGGTGAATTATGAAATGCATTTAGAGGATCATGATCAGCTTGTCTTTCTGTATTTGACTGGCTTATGCAGGTGAATGGATAAAGAAAATGTGGTCTGTATATGCAATGGAATACTAGTCAGCCTTGGAAAAGGAAGACATTTTACAATATGTGACAAAGGGTGAACCTTGAGGATGTTACGCCAAGTGAAATAAGCCAGTTGCTGTCGCTGCTTCTTGATTCTTTTCTTTCCTCTCCTGGGCAGGTTGTATACGTCACCGCAACATTCCCCTACATCATGCTTCTTATCCTGCTGATCCGAGGGGTCACGTTGCCTGGGGCCTCCGAGGGCATCAAGTTCTACCTGTACCCCGACCTCTCCCGGCTCTCTGACCCACAGGTAAGAGTTGCTTGTTCAAAGCACAGCATCACCTGCCACCACTGGGAAGCCTTCTGCAGAGCCCCTGCTGCCAGCCACCAAGGCTCAACGGCTGGTTGAACAGTAGGAAGCCTGTGGGCTCCTTCTCAGAGTAATTTAAATGCATAAATTAAACTCATAGGAAATGAAATATATTGAAACACAGTTAGTGAAACATTTAAAACAGGGAAATTCATGACCTGGTAATATATGCACTTCTTTATTGGTACATTAAATAGCAAGTCCAGCAACAGATCTGATAATAACCATGATTTCAAAGCAGCCATGGGTGTAAATAATATTTCAAGATAGCTATGCCATGATTTGAAAATACCTGAGAATTCTACTGCTAGTCGGACTGTGGTTTGTTGCCTGCCTCCATAATTGAAGCATATGGTAAATTTCTGTTAGTGAAAATAAGAAAAATTTTTTCTTGCCCAAGATCATAGATCTCTGCAGTGGTGTATCTCAGTGAGAGATGCTGAGTCTTTGCTGGCGACTGATTTTCTTTGTTGGGGGTAGCTCACAGAAAGAAAAGAAGTAGAGACCCTGGCTAACCGATTAGTTGTCTTTGGTAAGTGTTGGTAGTTCTGAATAGTGAGCAGTAATTGTTTAGGACTAAACAATTACTGCTCAATTCTGTAAGTTGGTACATGGTGGTATGCCTGGGAGTACATTAAACAAGACATAAAAACAGGACATCCTATGAGTCCAGTGATTCTCAACCTCCACTACCTGTTAGAAGCTCCTGGGGAGCTTTTGAAAATCCCAGTTCCCAGAACCCAATCCAGACAAATTAAAATAAATTCTCTGAGGGCTGTCCAGGTATTAGTATCTTTTTTTTTTTTTTTTTTAAAGATGACCGGTAAGGGGATCTTAACCCTTGCACCGCGCTGAGCCAGCGAGCTAACCGGCCATCCCTATACGGGATCCGAACCCAGGGCCTTGGTGTTATCAGCACCGCACTCTCCCGAGTGAGCCACGGGCCGGCCCCGAGGTATTAGTATATTTTAAAGGTCCCCAGGTAATTCCATTGTATGAAACAACTCACTCAAAGACATCTGAGTGGGTGAGGAGGCACCCATTTTTCTATTAAAACAAACATAGATAGATCACGTGAATCCACACATGATCTCCAAACAGGACATGAGGCTTGCAAGAAATTTAAGTGTGTAGTCTGTGGCTTGCAGCCATCCCCTGGTAGGGGAGCTTGGGTGAAAATGTTTGTAGAACACTGATTAGTGTACTCAGGTACACCTTATTATGGTGAGTGACATGGACAGTGGAGTGGAAAGTGTGCTCATTTTTGTCCAGTTTGCCATGCCTTGCAGGGCCTGAGGCTCAGAGCTCCACCGAGCACCTGCCTTGCATCCTGAATTGTAGGCAGAATCCCTAGGAAGAAGGAAATTAGCTCCTGACTGTCAGCCTTGCCAACTCTGACCTCTGATGGCAAGGGCTCAGCTTGAGAAGCTGTTTTGGAAAACATATTCCCAAAATCATTGGTCTGAGTATTTTTTTTAGGTCCGTACATTTTGCCTTGTTCCAGGACAGATTTCCCATTCTCTCCTCTGCTCGTGGGCTTCTTTTTCCTGGTCCTCAAAGTAGTCAGTCAAGAGGTCCTGAGCATCATCCAGAGTTTTCACACCTGGCTGATCATCAGAATGCCTTGGAACTTGTTAGAAACATGCATTCCAGGCCCTACTCCTGGAGGTTCAGTTTCACTGGGCCTGAGATGGCCCCTGGGCATCTGTTTTATTAAGAAGCTTCAGAGGTGATTCTAATGATCAAAAATGTTTGGGAAAATCTGGTTGGCATCTAGGATGTTAGAGCCCTACACACACACACACACACACACACACACACACTCTCTCTCTCTCTCACTCTCTCTCTCTCTCTCTCTCACATACCCATACACATACTCACACACACACACTTACACACTCACACAGAACAGAGGTGAGGCCAGGCAGTTCACCATTCAGGTCTTCTGCCCTAATCATCCCAGTTTCCTTCCATTTCCTTCCTTTTGTGCCTTGGCTCCCAGGCCAGTACTTATCTGCAAGACTGTTCTATAGAGCAGCCATTTGGAATAGTAGAGACCACATTGGGCTTGGAGTTCGGATGTGAGTTCTTCTGGTTCTGCCACTGATCCTGAGCAACCTTGGACAAGTTCTTTCTTTCCCCTCCTGGGCTCAGTTTTTCCACCGACAATGTGAAAGGGTTAAATTCAATCAATGTGAAAAGGTTGAATTCAATCAGTGGTTTTCCGGTGGATTCAGAGAGCCCTGAATATACCATGTATATTTTTTTCTGTTTTGGGGGGTATTTTTTTGGCAGCTGGCCAGTATAGAGATCCGAATCCTTGACCTTGGTGTTAGCACCATTCTCCCAAGTGAGCTAACCAGCCAACCACCGTGTATATTTTATAAATAAAGTTTTATTGCGGGCCGGCCCAGTGGCACACTGGATAAGTGCGCCGCTTGGGAAGTGCGGCGGCGCTCCCGCCCGAGGGTTCGGATCCCACATACAGACCAGTTCCCGCTCACTGGCTGAGCGAGGTGCAGGAGCAACACCGAGGGTTGCGGTCCCGTTGCCGGTCCCCAGTCCGGTACGGGGGCAACACTGAGGGTTGCGATCCGTTGCCGGACACGGAAAAAGACAAAAGACAAAAATAAAATAAAATAAAATAAAATAAAGTTTTATTGCAACACTTGTATACTACATGTTTGTGTATTATCTAAGGCTGCTCAGCGCTACGAAGGCAGAGTTGAGTAGCTGAGACAGAAACCGTATGAACTCCTGTATCAGACCACCCACACATTTGGTGATTCACTGTAAGGACTTGCAGGACTCAGAAGCAGTTGTACTCATGGTTATGGTTTATTTCTATCATTAGCAGGAGAAAAAAATTCATCACCATGGAGTCCGGAGGACTCCATGCATAGGCTTCTCACATTCTCTCCCTCTTCTTGCCAGGAGGGGCATGCACAATGTGCGCCTTCCTCCAGCATCAAAATGAAGCAGCACATGCGCAGTTTTTCTGCCCAGAGAAGCCTGCTCACAACTCAGAGATCAGGTTTTTAATGGGGGTATTTTATTGACTGCGCAGGTATTCTCTGCCTGCATGATCAATCACACCCTCAGAATTCCAGACTGTTGGAGGATAAGCAGGTGTTGACCATAAATCACATTGCTTGTACAGATGACCTAGGCAGGTAGTCTAAATGGAACTCAGTGTCTCAGACATACAAAACAACCATATCACTTCGTGCCACAGGGAACATCTTAGAAGCCAAGTTCCCATATACCAGCTGAGAGCCAACTGGGCAAGCAACCCTGCAACATCAGGCCTGCTGTCTTGACTCTTCCCCACATACCTGAAAAACCTCAATATTTACTATTTGGCCCTTTTTAGAAAAAAAGGTTGCTGACCCCTGCACTGGAGCACCCTCAGAGGCATGTGAGCAGGGGCTGATGGGCTTTGACCCCCCTACTCTGTCCAAGTTGCTCCCACCTCTGATGCCACTAGCCTTGTCCAGGCCACCACCACCTCCCACTTGGAAAATGTAGTAGCCTCCTAACTGGTCTTCCAGAAATGGCCCTTGACCCTCCAGGTCACTGCCCACCCAGCAGCAGAGTGGTCTTTTTGAAATGTAAATCTGATGGGCACCTATGCTTAAATCCCTTCTGGGGTTCCCCACGGTCTTTGGAATAAGATCTAGATGGTGGGGCCTCCAAGGTCCTCATGAGCTGCCTATTACTGCATTCCCTACCATTTTTCCCCCTCTTCAATTCATTTCAGATGTGGCCTCCTTTCTGAGCCTCACAAACACATGTCATTTCTGCCCCAGGGCCTTTGCACATGCTCTTTCTCTGCTGGAAGCATCCTTCTTTCTTCCCCAGACCCTCCTTCCCCATCCTGCCTGACTATCATGCACCCATCCTTTAGGACTCAGTTTAAACATCCCTTCCTCAGGCAAGTCTTTCCCAACTGCCCACCATGCACCCCTCCCCCCCACTACCCCATGCTTATTTTTGAAAGCACCTATCATGTTTACGATGAAATATTGATATATATGTGTGTGTGCGCATTATATTATGATTTTTATTTGTCTAATGTCCATTCGTTTGCCCAACAGGTATTTACTGAGTGTCTAATCTGTATCAGAGATCATTATAGGTATTGAGGCAGTGATCCCTGCCCCAGTGAGTTTATACTGTTGTTGGAAGAAGGCAATAAACAAGATTAAAAGTAGCATATAGAATCCATTAGATGGTGACAAGTATCACAGAGACAAAGTATGGCAGTGGAGAGGGAATGCTGGGGGAGAAGGCAACGATTTTCAACAGGGTGGCCAGGGAGGGCCCCGCTGACAAGGCAGTTTGGAAGCAAGGTCTGTATCTGCCTTTCCCACCTTTGTATCCCCATCTCTGGCTAGCTCAGCATCTGGTACATAGTAAGTGTTCAATAAATATTTGTTGAATGAATGTAAGAGCCAGAGCTGTTTTTATTTTTGAAGAAAAGGTTCTGTTTCTTTAACAAAAGATCTAATAACCTCCAGATCAACAGATTTGTGCACTATAATGTTTTTTGATTCTCTATCAGTGATGGCCAGGAAATTGTGTGTGTGTGTCCCTAAAAAGCAACTGTGTCCCTGAAAAGCAACTGCTGATTGTCTGAGAGGGAAAGGAGAACAAAATTCCATATAAGCTTGTGTTTTTTGGAAGCTGCAGTGTGTTGCAGGAATTGGGCCCCCACATGGCCCGATTCCAACTGTCCCTACCTGTGACCATCCCAGAGTATGAAGAAGCAGGAGAGCACTGGTTTCCATTCCTGCTGTCCTGCTGCTGGTGGTGTGGCCTCAAGTGAGGCTCCTCACCTTTCTGGGACCAAGTCCCCTCTTCCCTAGAATGAGGATTGCAGGTTGTACCTGCCTGGCCCCATCAGATGGCCTTGAAAGTCAAGTGCGATGACCCAGTTG